TCTCTGTGCACCCCAGGACAGGACCTGTCCCCTGCTGACCTGCAACTTCCTGGCAGTCAGCAGCTGGGAAGGCCTCCCTGTTACAAGGTGGAACATCCCCCTCCCGCAGGGAGATAATCACAGGACAGGAGCTGGTTCTATCCAGCCCTTCTCGCAGGGACCTGCCTTGAGCCCCGGGGCTGCAAGAACTAGTTTCGACCACCCCTGCCCCCAAAGCTGCATTCTCCACTGCTAGAGGAATTAAAGAGACACTCTCTTATTCCCCCAGCAGCACATGTGACTTCAGCCTCCCGCCTGGGGCTTTTAGCACAAGATTCCTTCTTGCTGCTAACAAACCCTGGGGCAGGTTTTGCCACATCGAAGAAATCACTCCCCAGTAGAAACGATGCAAAATTGTGTGTCACTGCTGCAACAGTCAGTTCAGCCTGCAAATCACCAGTTTCCATGTGTACCTTAGCTAAAGGTGCAAGGACTTTGTAACCTCCCACCAATTCTAATTCTGCCATTTTTCCTGGTAACAAAACCTTCTCCTGGATCAGGTCCCTCCTGACCACAGAAATTTCTCCACCAGTGTCTCTCCATCCTTGGAGCACTTTGCTATTAAGCTTAACGGCATGCATATGCTCACTGCTTGGTTGTGTAGAAGCAACCTTTACAAATCCTGCGTGGAAAAAGGCAGCAGCCTGGGATACCCCTGTGCTCTGAGAAGCAGCAGCTTCATGTGTTACCTGCTGTCTCTTCCCACTTAGCCAAGGACACTTATTCCTCAGGTGCTCAGTGGACATACAATGACAGCACCTTTTGGGCTCCTCTGCTTGTACAGGAGACTTGGGATGAGTAACAGGGGAATGGGGAGGTGAACGCCCTGCCTCCTTTTTCCCCAGGGGTAAAACGGTGATTCTGCTTTCCCCCAACCTTGTGCCCCTCTGCCAGTGGTTTATGTTTAACTGCAGCTTGTGACTGCTCGTAAGAATCTGCAAACCCAGATAATTCCCCCCACTGCACCCACCTATTTGTCCCACAAATACTGCTTTACATAATCACTGCACATATTCAGGAACTGTTGCTGAGTAACCAAATCACACATTTCTTCCAAGCTGGTAATGCCTTTTCCCCTCACCCACTTGTCTAACAAATCTCTCATTTCATTTACATAAGCCACATTACTCAATCCAGATCTCCTCTTAAGACTCTTAACCCTGTAGGTTTCAGGTGTAATCTGAAACTGTTTCAAAACCAGTTTCTTAAATTAACCATAGTTTAAAGCATCAGCAATAGGCATCTTATTGACTCTCCCAGTCAATTTTGCAACCAAAGTGGTCATTTTTTGATCTTCAAGAATCGCATGGAGGGTGCACAGTCTCTCAAAGGTGATGAAATATTTAGCAAGATCACTGGATCAATCATACTGCGGGCATAATCGTTCCTATTTGTGGGGTTTTTGGGAAGTAGAGCCAGCTGCTGGTGGGTTTTATCTCTTTCACTCCATTACAGCCAGTTCATGCTTCTGGGTCTCAATCTGGGCCTGTATTCCTTTGTCTTTTAACTCCAGCACTAGCTGCTTCTCTCTTTCCTTCTCCACCTGGGCAGCTTTTGGGCTTCAAGCTCTTTGTCTTTTAGCTCCATGGCTCTTTCATGAGCAGCTTTCTGTACTTCAGTTTAAGCCTGTTTCTGGGCCTCCATGGTTTCCCTGGCCACAGCTGCTTCTTTGAGCCTCATTTCTGCCTGCCACATTTGAAACTCATGGTCCTTTGCCTTCTCTTCCACTTCCAGTCTGGCCAGCTCTAGTTTTGTAGCTGCCTTACTGGTAGTCATTTTCCTGCTTTCTTGTGCTTATTTCCCTCACTCAAAATAAACCAACAGAAAATAACAAACTAGCAACCACTTTGTCTGTTTTCCATCCACCACACTTAAAACTCACTTAAAATCACTACCAGTGTCTCAAAGCAATCAGATGTGTACAGATCCTGCTGATGACACCACTGTGACGGGTTCGGTCACAGAGACCCACTTGGGACTGTCACCTGACGTGCTGAAACTACCTCTGAGACTGTTTTCCCTGTCAGCTTGAGAGTCCAGAACCCTGTTTTGTTGAGCCAGAAATGAAAGCCTGCTGCAACACAGACCCAGGGTCTGAACCACGTACCGAAAGCTGCAGTTTTTAACTGAAAACCACTCAGTAGGTACTCCTGTCTCCAACACCCAGACACCCCGCTCCCAATGGGATCCAAACAAAAGTGATTTTATTAAGAATAAAAAGTAGGATTTAAGTGGTTCCAAGTAATAACAGACAGAACAAAGTAAGCCACCAAGTAAAATAAAACAAAACACGCAAGTCTAAGCCTAATACATAAAGAAACTGAATCCAGGAAAATCTCACCCTCAGAGATGTTCCAATAAGCTTCTTTCACAGACCAGACTCCTTCTTAGTCTGGGCCCAACCCTTTCCCCAGTACAGTTCTTGTTAGTTCCAGCAGGCATCTTAGGTGAAAAGCAGGGGATTCCACATGACTGGGACCCCTTTGTTCTGTTCCACTCCCTTTTATAGCTTTGGCACAAGGCGGGAATTCTTTGTCTCTCTCTGGGTCCCCTCCCCTTCTAAATGGGAAAGCACCAGGTTAAAGATGGATTCCAGTATCATGTGACATGTTCACACGTCCTGTGGGACTTCATTACCCACTCGCTGGCACACAGGTATACAGGAAGGCTTACAAGTAAACAGAGCCATCTACAACCAACTGTCCTAATTAATGGGGGCCAACAAGATTTGAAACCTCCATTAATGGCCCACATTTTGCATAACTATAATAGGACCTCAGAATTATATTTAATATCCTAATTTCAGATACAAGAATGATACATTCATACAAAGGGGATGAACACACTCAGTAGATTATACGCTTTGTAATGATCCCTTACAAGAAACCTTTTGGGTAAAGCATATTCCAGTTACATCATATTTACACTTATAAACATAGTTCCATAAACATATGGAGTGCAATGCCACAATCACCTCATTATCTTCTAGGTGTTTGCAAATTGATTTCTTAATTATTTGCACCATTATCTTTCCGGGTACAGAAGTTGAGCTGACTGGTCTCTAATTCCCCGGGTTGTCCTTATTTCCCTTTTTATAGATGGGCACTATCATTTTAAGTGTTTTTAAAATGTTGCTTTTCACATCTAGAAAATGTCTAGCTATTGCCAAGTTCAGGTCACAGGATATGGCCTTTACCTCAGTCTCCACAGCAACTGTGCTTATGGGGTTCTTTTATTCTCAAACACTCTTAGCCACAGAATAGCATGAAGCCATTTTACATAATGCTACCCCTGTCCCTCCTCTCATAAAATCACCCATTACAGGTGAAATAATATACAAAGTCTGGACTTTGGGAAGCTGCTGTTGACAACCTTATGTTAAATATGGCCCCATGTGCTACTTTGTTACCAGAGTCCACAGAGCAAGGTAACATCCGTCTTTGTGGAAAGGGGCTTTTGTGGAATCCTTTTGTCACTGTTGAGCCGTATTCAGCTGCCAGTAAACTCAGAAGTGACTGTTAAGGGTGAGGTTTTAATTAATCTCTGTTTGATTCTGATTTTAGATTACACGCCTCCCAGCCCCCCCCAGGCGCAAGTCCCCCCCCCTTTTAAACCAAAAACTTTTCCATGTGGAATTTCCTGTGAAACTTACAATTAAAAGCCACCTATTGGAAAAACTAGATCAGGTTTTGAATTACAGGAGAGTGAACAAAATCACAATTCCCTTTGTAAAAGAGCTGCAACCTTACTTGTTTGAAAAGGGCTACAGCAGAAACTTGGCACAGACATTGTCCTAACTGAGGTTAATACCTTTGCTTGCTTTAAAAAAAAAATTTGATTTAACGAATATATCACTTGTATCAGTCTGAGCATGCCCAGTGGAAACCAACAGCTGGGCACAAACAGATGCACCATACCTGTGTGTGCTGAATTTGGACTCATTGTTTATTCAGGATTTGTAGGGCTGGGAGGACAGAACATCTGCCATGGAATGACAATCCTCCTTCCCAGCTGGACCTGGGGTACGGATCAGCTGTACAACCACTGTACAGTCACTTCTGTTTGAAGCTATTCTAGTGGCTGCAGCATACTACTCTCTTCTTGCACAGCCCGTGTTTGTGAGCAAATCTGTGTAGTTCCTGACTCATGGCCCACCCCCTCTGCTCACATGGGGAGAGTTAGGAACAGTGCTTTTCAGGCTCGGTGTGCCCGTGCAAACAGAGGCAGGATTTTCCCCCAAGTATGCATTTGATTGTTCAAGAAACTTACGAGCTCCATAGCTGATGGCCCGGAGATGATTAGCTTTGCAAACCTGAGCAACTGTGGGGATAGGGGAGGAGGCTGGAGAACCTTGAAAGCTCTGCTACTCTGGTAGCTCCTGTTTTAAGGTTAATAAAGAATGAGTCAGACAAAAGTAGTTAAATAAATAAGCTGCATTATCTGTACAAAAAATGATATAAATACAGGTTTTTTAGGGGAGGAAATCCTACTTCTATAATACTCAGCAACCCTCATCATCTTATGGGGATACTGCCAAGTCACAATTCATAGGACAAATATCTGAAATTATATTTATACTGTGTGAAGGGGACACAGTGGCCTTGCCAGACCTTGGCTCCAAATGTTTATCCTAAGCACAGTTACACAGCTAATATCCAACATGGGATTGTCTGAATATGTTTTGTTATTAAAAAATGTAAATACTTCCCAGCACTGCTTTTCATTAGCTATTGTACTAGAAACAACCACCAAATTATTAGTAAGGAATTTGTCTTTCGTTCCATGCACAACTATAGTTTCACAAGTAGGAAAGCCTCTCCCCCCAGTTGTCATAGTTTACGAAGCAATCTGTACATAGTGAAATGTATCCAAAGTTAAATGAAAGTGCTGATAAAAACAGGAAAATTACACTATTACCACTGATTTTAGGGGAACAAAATTGCAGGGAGATCACAAAAAAATCCCCAAAATAGTTTTTATCTGGACAACAATGTACAATTATTAATATTGCACTTTTTATACAAGGAATCCTAATAAATATACACAAAAAGATATACATTTACATACATAAAAAGACTTTTTTTGTTTGTTTTTAAATAAAAGTTACACTGATTCTTAGCAATGTGATTTCTCAGAGACCCATTTGTAGAGAGAGTGTTCCCTGCCAGACACACTTTGGAATGACCAAACTGGAGGCAATTTAATGCAATGGACCTGGTGTTGACCTCACAAGAGAACTTCCAGGCTTGTTGAAAAATCCACATGTAAGGTAAGCTGCAACATATCAATACTTGAACAGTGTTTTATTACTGCATCACAAGAAGAGAGTCCCACTGGGGGTGACACAAGAGGCACAGCCAAACCTTACATTTAGAGATAGTCCTAAACCAAAACTCCGGATCTGGACACCTCTCCCTCAAACTTCAGGGAAGTTCAAATCCAAACTTTGTAGTTCAGGCTGATTTCTGCAAGGTGCTGAGCAACCTGGATTTCCACTGACTTGAGGATGCCCAGCATCTTGAAGGATGAAGCACTTAATTTTTGATTATCGATGCAATTAGGCGAGAGAATCACAATGAGCAGGCAAAATCATGTTATAATTGTGAAATTTGACTCTTACTTCTCAGATCACCTCTGACTGCAGAGTTCTATTCATAGATTGCTTCACTTTCTAGCATCCACCTTTTTTGTGAGTCTTTTAGGAATTTGTGCGACCACTTTGGGGACAAAGCTGATGATGCAGCATTCTGTATGTCTACGTGACAGAAAGAACTATAACAAATCAGAGCAGCTGTGTTCTCCTTCTTGATAAATTAATAATTATCACTGGAGGATTTGGCTGTAATGAGAGAAAAATTCCACACTGGCAGGACATAGAAATGATTTCTACAAATCTAAAGTTAGAAATAGACCAAAAGCCCAGATCTGAAAGCCCAATAACTCTGGGATCTCAGGCTTCTCTCTTCCCCAGATACATTTTAATCATGTTAAGATGCAGCATGGTAAGTAGCTCTTGTTGCCACAAATATATATAAAGCCCCTCCTATAAGTGCTCTGCACAGAGCTGTGATGGCAGGTATGCACGGCAGTCTGTCAATAGCAGATCATTCTGTCACTCACTTTCCTTTTCTGCATAATACTGTACTTCATTTTTTCATGTTGAGGGAAAAAAACTTGGTGCACTTATTTAGATGCATTTTAAACTCATTAATGCTTCAGCACAATGTTTAACCTCCTTTTCAGATCCTAAGTTCTTAGCATGAGAGAGAGAGAGAGAGAGGGACAGAGAGAGAACAGGAACACAGCTTTAGGACAGCAATTTTAAAAAACTAAAACCACATGCTTATGTTAACAAACCCTTCTAGGGCAAACGATGTCTCTGCCCATTGCTTAGCTGAATTTTTAGTTCAATCCCTTTTTTCAGTAGCCCATGATCTGTCAAGCTGTTTGATCCATGCCCTGGTGGTCTGATCTGCTGCTAATGGGAGTTTTTGCTTTGGTGTTTTCCGCCCATCTGCTGGTTGATGTGTATTGCAAGGCCTATAAAAGGATTCCTAGACAGCTCTGTTCCACTCAGGCCTGACATGTTGCTTGTCTTCTCTTTCTTTTTGGTCTCCCACCACAACTGTGCTTTGCTGCATTCCATCTCCCAGTCTCACTGAAGGGAAAACTTGCCAAGTCCTTTACAACAACGATTCAGTAAAGTTAAAAAAAATAAAATAAAAATAAATAAATAAAATGAAGAAAACTGAATTCTGTCCAATTTGTTTTGTAACAGTCCTTCCTGTAGTGAAGCAAAGGCTGATGCCTCTGATCCCCTATCTCAATTGCTCTCATCTTCATGCTTTTCCACAAGTCCCACAGCAGCGAGATTTGAACTGGGTGAGCTGGCAGAGTTTGAGCTGCTTCACCTTCTCACAGTACCTGGTGGTGTCTCTGCATTCCACTGGCAAAGGGGGAACAAAAAGGAGATGCAATGAAAGAACGGTAACTTACCTCCCAGTAACTGCAGCAAAGAGTCCTGTGGCACCTTATAGACTAACAGAAGTATTGGAACATGAGCTTTCGTGGGTGAATACCCACTTCGTCAGATGAATTTAGTGGAAATTTCCAGAATTTCCACTACGTGCATCTGACGAAGTGGGTATTGACCCACGAAAGCTCATGTTCCAATATGTCTGTTAGTCTATAAGGTGCCACAGGACTCTTTGCCGCTTTTACAGATCCAGACTAACACGGCTACCCCTCTGAAACTTGACTCCCAGTAACTGTGGTTCTTCAAGATTTCTTATCTGTGTGGACCTTCCCTGGAAGTGCCCATGCGCCTCAAGGATCTACACAGACATGGGTTTGAAGAATTGAACATCCAAAGGTTGCTTTTAGACCACACAATCAGAGAGGGGAGTCCTGGGTTAGTAGTAGTACTGTTGACTGGTTAGTGGGATACCTACTTCTTGGGGCTGTCACTGCACTCGTGGGGGTTTTGCTCTCCAGTACCACAGGAGATATCCCCATTGTCAAGTTGGCATTAAAAATATAAATAAAATAACGAGCTGCTTTTTAAAGAGAAGAAGTACTTGTGGCACCTTAGAGACTAACAAATTTATTTGAGCATAAGTACTCCTTTTCTTTTTGCGAATACAGACTAACATGGCTGCTACTCTGAAACCTTTTTAAAGAGAGTTGCTCCATGGCACCTTTATGTACTTTATCGGCTTGGGAGGTCCACACTGGTTGGTCTGGAGCTTGGGAGGTCCATACTGGCTAGTTCTGAAGTTATCAGGTGAGATTCTATGTTGTGTTTCTAACACGTGGAGCACTGAACCCTTCAGCCCAGGGACAGGGTTAAGCAACCTTTGCACTCTCCTAATCCTGGGCTCTTTCGAGGCCCAGCAACCCTCCCAATGTAACTTAGACAGCCCTAAGGACCTGTCTCATTAACAGCAGCCTCTTGGTGTTGCCCTATGGGCTGCAGCACTGCCTGGAATCTCCACAAGGCTGTGTGTCCTGGCCCCTACACACCCTCCCCCATGCCAGCTTGTGAGGGGATCCTCAGAGGGCAGCATTCTTGCTGTCTGCCATAGTGCTGGTGCCAAAGGAATTCTCCCCTGACTGGAGCTGTGGCTTTTAGGGTCCCTTTATGCCACTCCAAAGAAAGAAGCTAGAGTGCGGGTGAGGGTCTCGTGCACCTCCTTTAAACTCCACTCCTGTCCTCCCTCAGCAAGCCAAGCCATGCTAACTGTGTTTGGGCTGGCTTTACTGAGCACCTGTATTTGCCTCTAGAGGTGGGAGAAGGCCTGTAGCACGCCTTCTGTAGTCTAGTGGTTCTGCTGCTGCTCCACAGCGCCCAGCCTCTGCGGAGATCCCCAGCGCCCAGCCTCAGAATTGCTGGCTGCACACTAGACTCCAGGTTCTGGCCCTTAAACACAATGCTTCAGAGTACTTGGGAGCCATGACTGGCAAAGAGGTTGTGATTTATACTCATGCTACTTGGTGTTCCCAGGTGAACACTGACATAACAGGGCTTGGTTTCCAAAGAGGCACATCTGTTCCAGATATTTATTCCTTTTGCAATATTTATAATGTGTGTGTTTTTTGGCAGGCCCAATTAAGTTCTAGTCACCTGAAAGCCTCATCCACTGCAGGAATTCCCCGCACTAACCAACTAATCTGCCTCAGGTTTGCTTGATGTTAACATCAACTAACTACCTGTTTATGATTTATTATTTCTCTCCATACCAATAATGGAAACTTAGGGCAGCACCTATTACTTTTAGCCCTATTACCAGGAAGATGAGATCCCAACTCTTAGAAAACAACATCAACAACAAACAATGCTGGAGACATTCCAGTAGGAACACTTGATTTTTCAGGCTGCAATTTGCCATTTTTCAGACAAATGTTTTCCCAAGCAGCCCAGCAGTGGGGCCCAACACCGCGCTCTGGGGACCCAGCTCTGCGGCGAAGATTCACAGGTGGCTCCTTTCTCCCACAGGAACGTACTGTTTTCGCAGGGGGTGATGTTGCAGCGTTGCCAGTTCGCAGGTCTTGGCCTCCAGGAACAGTAGTGCTCCTGCACAGGTTTGTTGGTGCGGACATGCACGCATTCCACTCGCCTGGACTGGAAGCCGTAGTTCCCACACGTAGCTGTACACAGGGTCCACAGACTGACCCTCCAGTGCACACCACAGATGTCTGTCCAGCAGTTCTGTGTGCTCAAAGGCCTGTTAATAAAAAGGACAGAGATATTATTATACCACCAGGCAGGAAATAAGAGGCTTAGTCACACTGGGTATTCCTCAAACACTGGGGATACCACAGGCCCTATAGCTCTGATCCTGAACCTCTCTGAATACTTGCTGGACCTGATCCACAGTGGTTGTAAATCAGCATAGATCCATTGTCTTAATGGGCTGTATTGAGGGTCTGGCCCATTGACTTCAACTGGCAATTACAGAACGGGACTCAAAAGGCCAGATCCTCAGCTGATGTCAATTGGCATAGCTCCAATGAAGTCTATGGAGCTATGTATCCATTTACACCAGTTGAGGATCTATCTCAAACAACTTTAGCACTCCTTCTGTCCATAAAGTAGTTAACGACCAGATACTACTGAGGAGTTGTAATGAACCAAGAAGTGGCTGATGTAAGCCACCATAGCTTTGTTAGTATAAATGCAACAAGCTTGGGTTTCAGATATTGTTGTTAGGGTTTTACAAATGGCACAAACAAAAACCGGTGTTCAGAACTCATCCTTTTCCTTCTGTACACTTGGTGCTCATTTAGTTATTGCACAGGAGAAATGTTGATATACTACCAAGCAGTGCTAACTGGGATGGCTTTGGCAATGTGGATGCTCATCCACTAGGAAAAACTTGAAGGGAGAATTGGGGTTTCTCTGTAAAAATGGTATCAAACATGCACAGAGCCCAATTCTCCTGTTATTCCTGAGAGATGAAAGGAGAATCAGGACCTCAAATCCAAAAACCTCCAAAGGCAGTAAAATCTCTGGCCTAATTCATAGGTCTCTGTACAGAAGAGCCGTTCTGATGATGAGGGATTCTGTAATACCTTGGCAGGGCACTGCACTGGTCAGAAGACACGGAATTCCCATCCCTGGTCTGGCAGAAAATCTGTCTGTGCTGTACAGCTAGTCGCGGTCCGATGCATGGCCCATTACACTGCAAAAGTAGAAAAAAGACATTCAGTGGCATAAAGAGAGAACATGCCCTGCTTTTATGAAACCCTTCTTGGGAGTCAATGAGCAGAGATGCATGTTGCTGAGATGCAGATGCTCTCAGTCACTTCATAGAGATCAGTAGGTTTTGAGTACAAGTGCACAGTCTTCTTGTATCCCACACAGCCTCCCCAGGGCAGCATTAAAACTCATTTCTGTATCTGCTCTCTAGATTAATTCCCCTCCCTCTTTGCCTGTTTCAATCTTAAATCCATCTGTTTGGACAAATAAAAAGCTCTCATCTTATTAGCCCCGAGCTTGTGATCCATATAGGAAATCTTGCTACAGTCCCTTTACTGTGTATTTTACAGCTTGTACTGTCACAATTTATAGTCAGGTGGTTCATAGCAAGACTGAATCGGGCCAGCAATGGTTTTTGCTTTAACACAAAGACATCCTAACTTACTCAAACCTGTCAGTCAGCCTCTTGTGGTTTAATTTGTTTCCCCTCTTCCCAGTTTAAATCACAGACAGCTAAAGGCATGAAGCATGTGACTTTGGCACCATCTTTCATCAACCCTTATAAAACTGCCTGGTTTCCAGGCAGCCAATATCTGGAAACTGGTTTTGGGAGGGGACTGCTGATTTGGAGATGGACGAGAAGGGAAATGAATGTAGGGATCAAGGAGTTTCCATCAGTGCAAAGGTGGAGCAGGTTGGGATTCCTACCTGGCACTAGCTCTGACCTGTGCTACCCGCCTAGTGCCAGAAACCCTCTTCCACCCTGGCATGCCCTCCTCACATCTGGTACTAGTTCTCAACCAACACCTGGACCAGGGTCCAGCAGAAAAAGAGGAAGCTTGGTTGAGCTGGAGTGGGGAGACCGATGAATTGATTGCAAGGAAGGGTGTTTTGTGAAAAGATAAGTAGGCAGGGCCCTCAGAAGGAGGAGAGGGAGTAATCACCAGCTTGGCTGGGGTCAGAGAACCGATTAGGTAGAGTGAGAGGGATCGAATATGCTCAAATTCATCTTGAATGTCCACCAAAGACCTAAGTGGTCTATAGAATAATACTCTACTGTTAGGCAGCCTAATGCTTTGGTGCAGGCGCAATAAGGATAGCACTTCCCCGCAGGCTGAAAGAGAGAGACGCAAGTCAATGCAAGGCTTTTCACAGGGGGCACTGGCTCAGGTGCATGTAGGTGTCATTAATTTGGGTACTTGGGGCAGGACTGCAATAGCTGTACGTGCTGGCAATCTTCATCATAAACAGGCCTGAGTGAATGGAAATCTTAGGGGATGCGTCTTGAAGCTTTGTTGGACTATAAGAAAACCAAAGCTGTGGAGGTTAAATAGCCCACAGTAATCCACTTAAAACTAAATGAAAGAAGGTGGGAGGTACAAGAAAGTAACAGGTTTTGAAGTGGGGTAGGTCATCTATTTATTTTCACTTTAGTCTGGGAAAGCTAATCACTAAACCTGACCAATATGAACCTGATGTCCCCCGGCGTGAAACCTATGATACAATGGAGAAATGTCACTGATCCACAGCCAGTGGTCTGTTCCTAATTGTAATTAATGTAATTGTCTTGTAGACATGTCTTGGAACAGAGCTGTATAGGTTTACATGGAGCTTGAGAAATGCTTTTTTCAGGTAGGAGAAATATTATATTATAAAGCACAAAGGTCAGGTATAACAGATGAATTCATGCGTCTTTGATGATTGAGACTTGGTATGATATCATAGGGAATGAGGTAAATCACCACGGGTTACAACCACCCATTTGAGTTAACTGGCCAACAGCTAGCATTACACAATCCTTACTCGAAATTTCAAAGAAAGTACAAATTGAGCAATTTGCTTCTCTGTTTTGAAAGAATGTTCAGCTCTTTACTCATAAATGCAGCATAACTCAGTCTATGTTCTGAGTGAACTTTCTCCAAAATACACAGACATAGGATTTAATGAAGTTATTTTCAGCTCGCTGGCAGTAACATGTCTCATTTCAATGATGGCACTGGATGCTTTGCAATAACCTTTGTCCTATGAACATTTCATAAAATGAGTTACCGACCTTGATGGAGCAAAACAGTCAATGTTGTATGCTGTGTAACGAGTAACTTTGGTCTACAAGGCTGTATTTAGTATATTCATATATACTATATATTATATATGAGATTATATATGGTCATATCAGAAATTACAGAATTTATGTGGCTAAGATCTACTATCATATCACTATGAAATCAAACAAAATGAGATCATGTGATTTATTTGCCATTGTTTCCACATTGACTTACCAGGCACTAATCATGAAAAGCTGCAAAATATTTCAGGGTAACTCAGTCTATATTGAGAATGAAGCCAATCCCTGCGTGCTCAAAGCTGACTCTGCATAATATTTTTATTAGGCTTTTGTTGTGTGCCCCTAAACTTGATTTCCTTAAGTGTTTCCTGATTAGTACTTTTTAAGGATATTGATTTAAAAGTATGACCTCTTCAGGTTTGTTATAGATGAACTGTTCTTCCATTGAAAACCTTTCGTAGGCCAAATGTAATGTTAAAATAACAACATTAATATCTGACTTTAACTCATATAATCAAGTAAAACTAGCCTGTGGATTAAACTCTGGCCTTCACTTATTCCACTCTGCCCCTGGATGAGTCATCATCAGGGTGGACTGAACATCGGACCTTTGCGTCTAAATATATGAACCTCTTCTACCTAAGCTAAAATTCTCACCAGCCTGTACGTGTGGGCCAGCTACAGCTGAGAGGGAGGGAGACAGAGTACCACAATGACTGGCTGTGGGTTACATTTACAGCACATATATGCCACAATCCTTTCTGGAGATCTGCTGACCCACAGAGATCCACAGACAATAAGGGGCTCTCCCATGGATCTCCCCAATAGGAGGATTCCACTCATAATACTATGAATCATTCACTATTTACAGAACAACTTTTTAGTATCTGAGCACAACATGAAGCAGTAAGGATAGAGTTTCAGACTGACTTGTGTGGGAGTCTTAAAATGCTTTGGACCCAATGTCTTGTATCATCATTACAGTTTCCCTTACATAGTGGTTCAAATAAATCCTGATTTTATGAGGTGTTGGTGGATATCCGAAACTTTTGTGAAACTGGGGGTTTGTTAAAAAACACACGACAGCCCAGAACAGGACCAGATATAAATGTTGCATAACAGAGACAATCAGGGTCTGGAAATGTGTGTGTTTCACTGTGTCCAGATACACAAGAGACAGCAAGGATTGACTAGGCCATGGAAACTGACCAGTTTCTCCAGGTCATTACTGAGGTACATTGGCAGAACAGGACGGGGAAGCTTGAGCTGCCAGTGTCCATGCTGCTCTGAGAGAAGAGGGAGGATTTTGCTCTCCAGGGTTGTGTCCATCACTACAAATAAATAAATACATAACAAGAGGCTGCAAGAAGAAGCCTCTTCTTCTGTGAAGACAGTCCAGTGGAGAGGAGTGAAGGGCCAGATCGTGACTAGCTCTTCTAGGGTGTACACAGATCTGGGGATGGGAGAAGAACTTTCCTCTTCTCCTTGCTTACCCCAAGCAAAGACTGGTCACAACCACAGTCTCTGTACTTGGAGGAGGGCTCGGATTGTTCCCTCAAGATTGCATATCTCCCCAAAGGAAATGGGGGAGATGAGGAAGCAGGACCACATCACCTTACAGAGCAAGCTTGGACACTGCAGGGGATAGGGAAAACAGGCCACACTATCCCAAAGGATGACTACTGCCCCATTGAGCACTGGGGAGCAGTTATGCGTGCCGGAGACATAATCCCTCCATGAGCTCCCCCTGGGACAATGTGCCTCCATACTCAAGGCAGTGCCGATCTGGCACAGTCTAGCCCTGTCTTTTAGGCTGCTATCTCTTTCATGAAACGTGTGAAGTTTGGTTATCCCAATCATCCAGTGCATTAAACAAAAGACATGAGTCTTAAAACCTCATACGATGCATTAATCACAGATGCAAAATTATTGCTCTCGTCTTCAGGCACCTCTTGTCACCCAACTGTACGAGAAGTTTTGTATGTCTGTGTGGCCCTTACCTGACCCCAGGAGGAGGCCACCCACTCCATGCACAGCTGCCTGTTACAGATCTGGGTATCCACTGGGCGTTTGGCAACCTGGGCACATGCCTCATTTGACATGGGGACGGAACTGCCCATAGCGGTCAACCTCTGACAAGTCACTCGCCGGGTCTGGACCCCTCCACCACAGCTCCGTGTACAAAGGGACCAGGATGTCACCATCCACCTGATAGGAGAAACGCAAAGGGGTCAAGGAGCAGTACAGAATCATCAGGCAGAAATGACAGTGTCACAGGGATCTCATAACACTGCTCCTCTAAAATCACAGAGGCACTTGCAGAAAGCCAGCCATTTGATCACTTTGGGCTCAATCTTGGGGGATGCTGAGCAGCCTCACCTTCCACTGAGGTCAATGGGAGCTGAGGAAATTCAGCACCTCGTGGGCTAGGGACTAAAGTATGTTACATTTTAGCACCTCTGTCAAAAGGGGTTGGGCCCAGAATAGAAACTATTCTATATTTTCTTGGCTCTGTTTGCAAAACCCATGTAAATACTTCTAACCCTGGGGTGCGGTGTGGTCACTTTGCAGCATCATGTTGGCAGATTCTGGACCTAAGGCCAGTATTACAAGCCATGGGAGGATCAGCCCAATAAGGGGACTCTTCAGTTATGTAAAGACCACACAGCAGCTCCCACTCTCAACTTGCTGCTGACATAGATGCATAACTTGTATGTCTCTAGCCCTGCTGACCCCTGGTCGCTATATTGCCTCCTTGGGGCCACTGGTTTCCTGGATAACTTACAGCAGCTTCTAGGCTGCTCTTACTCCAAGGGAATGGGCTGGTGCACAGCCAGACAGGAATTGGGGAAGCACAAAGGGCATTGTGCCATTTTCCCTGAGCTGCATGGCTGAAATAGAGGATCTGACCCTATATGTATTGACTTTTTAAAAACACTAAAACAAATTAACAAAATAACATTTAATACATAAATAAAGAAATATAATATTATTATACTGGTCTACCATCTACTACTAACTGGGTAACAGATTTAGTTGGTTGTTCAGAGATCAGCAACCTTCCTCCAATCCTGGGATAATGTGAAATAGCCTCCCACTCAGCTAGTCTGCAGCTTATTACTGGCTGTTAAAACTGCTATGCGGAATGTGTGAAAGAAGTGAGTCTCTTGGTAATCATGAATCACGGGCCATGTTCAGGCATGCACATGGTAGATAATGGTGATGCTGAACACTGCAAGAGCTGGGTCCATGTGCCAAGCAGTTGGCACAAGGAGGCAAAGAGAGTTGTTTCCCAATGGAGTGGTGCGATATTTACCCAGATGGTTTCTGAAGAGAGGTTGGAGGGAAGGAGGAAGGGAAGTGATTATTAGTTCCAGGGGGAGAGTTCTGGTCAAGTCAGGAGCTCTGCTGAAATAGGCTTCAGGCTACTTTGCAGGATTTATGTGTTCTGGGTGGCGGAGGGAAAGCCCAGCATCTCCCCAACCAGCAGCACCATATTTATGATTACTTTACAAAACAGGCAGTAGGTGCTTTCCAGTCCCTTGGAGCTCTGATACTCAAGTAAAGGCATCCATTATATTTTCATTAACGCTCTGCTGACTGATTCCCACTGTTACAGAAACAATAAAATAAATAGAGTTCTTGGCAAGGACAAAAAATACTTCTCCTCTGCGTATCATAGAGTTTGGCGAGGTTGATTCTGCAGCTTCTCTGCCCTTTGTAAAGCTCAGCTCTGCATTTCAATCAACTTTTATTTCCAAACATACACTTCAGCAGTTTTCTCGGGAGCCGGGAAGAGAAGCGTGGGCTGCATTATAGCTCAGGAAGGGGATAAAAGGACATAAATCATTCCTGTGGAAATATTCCCATCAGCAAGTCAAACTGCTGATATTAATGAGCATGTTTCATATTTCATCAAGTCTCTCGTGGTTTCAGCTGTTCCTTATGACTCAGCTGGCCATCCAGAAAACATTTGCCTAAAGAGAGGTGCAGGAACACATTATAGAAAGGTAATGAAAGGGCATCCTAGCTGCCCCCCCAAGCCACAGCCAAAGCAAATGGCTGGAAAGCTGGCTGCTCTCTGCTCATCAGGATACTTTCTGATTCTCAGCTTCTCCGCTCGTGTCAGAAATTGTGGCCAGATTCTGATCTCAAATATATGAGTGCAAAACCAGAGTCATGCAGGTGAAGTTACTGGAGTCACTCTGGATTTTTACCTGAAATTTGCAGTTTGGGCCTATCTCTAATTTTGATTTGTTTATTTCTGATTTGTTACAAATGTCCCATCACATAACATAATATTAATACCGATACCGTTCTCAGGGGAGTCACTAGTTGGCATGGTTACACAAAGTTTTGCAAGCAATGTACAGTCATTGAAGAAATGGTGTATTGTTAGTTTTGGGATGCAGTTTCATTTGAGGAAGCTGTTGGAGGCAGCTGGAGAATTTACTCTCTCCCTTTATCTTTCTATCTGAAGTCAATTCTTGGGGCAGAGTGGCTTCTTGGGAAGTAGGCATTGGTGCTGGGGCTGAATTTCTGAAACATGGGTTTGTTTGCATGCTGTTTGTGACCACCTCTGTTTAGGGGCTGGTATATATACAGTATAAAAAACCAGCCATGCTAAGGCTATGTGTATACTATGGGGACTATCCTGGCATGGTTATGTTGGCATAGCCAACTTCACAGGAGGAGTTTTTCTGTTGATGCAGGAACATCACCTCTCTGAATGACATTAGGTACCCTGGCAGAAGCACATGTCCACTGACATAGATGCATCTACACCGGGGGGCGGGGGAGAGGAAGGCGGGAGGAGTTTTTTTGGTCAGCATAAATATGTCAGTCAGGTGTGGTTTTTCACACTCCTGCCCAACATAGATATGCCTATATAACTTTGCAGCGTAGATCAAGAGTAAGAAAATAAACAGACTACATATCATTGATTTCCTCTCCAATGGGAAACTGACTTGCAGGGCCCTGAAATCTGCTACTGATTTGCAGAAGGACAAAAATACATATATATTATGGTAGTACCCAAAGGCTCCAATCAGGATCAAGACTCTCTTTCCTGGGTGCTGTACAAACAAATAGAAGGGCACAGTCATGCCCCCAAACAGCATATATTTAGTCTGGAGTTGACAAAGGTATGGTTAACTAGTGAGTCAAAGAGGAAAATTCAGTCCTCTAGCTAGCTTCGTCTAACAAACAGCATTCTTGGGCACTGATCCTTCCTGGGAAGGATCCAAAAGACCATTAGGTTGTGAACTTTGCTAATAAAAAGAAGACGATAAACCCCTTTAACAGAAGGAGTAGACATAATCTCTGCCATGTACTGTGAATGTTTTCCCCAATCCACCACCATGCCCTCTAATTTATCTGGATTAAGATTCAGTAAATTCACTTTCAGATACAATTGTTTCTTGGACAGACACTAGAAAAGCAAAGATAACATGTTGTCCAGGGCAGAGTATTATTAAATGCAGGGGTGGGCAAACTTTTTGGCCTGAGGGCCACATCGGGGTTCCAAAACTGTATGAAGGGACGGGTAGGAAAGGCTGTGCCTCTAAACAGCCTGGCCCCGCCCCCTATCTGCCCCCTACCACTTCCCACCCCCCTGACTGCCCCCCTCAGAACTCCCCACCCATCCAACCCCCCCTGCTCCTTGTCCCCTGACTGCCCTGACCCCATTGACGCCCTCGCCCGCTGACAGGCCCCCCCGCTGGGACTCCCACGCCTATTCAACCCCCCGCCGTTCCCGGTCCCCTGACCGCCCCCCCCCCGCCAGAACCTCCACCCCATCCAACCGCCCCCTGCTCCCTGTCCCCTGACTGCCCCCGAGGATCTCCTGCCCCTTATCCAACTCCTCTGATCCCCACCCCTTTACCATGCCGCTCAGAGCAGCATGTCTGGCAGCCACGCCGCCCAGCCGGAGCCAGCCACGCCACCGTGCTGCCTGGCAGGAGCTCGCAGCCCCGCCCTCCAGAGTGCTGGCGGCATGGCGAGCTGAGGCTGCGGGGGAAGGGGGACAGCAGGGGAGGGGCCAGGGACTAGCTTCCCCAGCTGGGAGCTCAAGGACCAGGCAGGACGGTCCCGCGGGCCGGATGTGGCCCATGGGCCGTAGTTTGCCCACCTCTGATTAAATGCTTCGTAAAAGCATACACAATATACTACAGCGCAAGGACAAACCTTGAAGGGCAGTCTCTTCTGTTACAAGCAACAGGCTGTAGCACTGGCTTGGGCTTCTCTATACAGTGGGATGTGTTGACCTCAGTCCCATCCAGTAAGCACCTCAGTTGCGGTTGCTGCACTCCCCTGTTACCACAGGAGGCCGAACATGCCATCAGTCTGTCCGCTGACCACCAATATTCTGCCACAAGCACAAGACACTCAAGTTAACATTTAAAAATCAATCAGAAAAGCTGATTAATGGTAAAATATCAGTGATTGATACCAAGGTGCTCTGCCATTTTGGAGACGTTTTGTAAGATAAAAACAACAAGGAGTCTGGTGGCACCTTAATGACTAACAGATTTATTTGGGCAGAAGCTTTCGTGGGTAAAAAACCCACTTCTTCAGATGCATCCCCAGTCCCCAAATCTGAAACGGTTCGTCAGATGCAAAGTGGGTTTTTTACCCACAAAAGCTAATGCCCAAATAAATCTGTTAGTCTTTAAGGTGCCACCAGACTCCTTGTTGTTTTTGTGGATACAGACTAACACGGCTACCCCTCTGATATAAGATAAAAGTGACTCCTACAGAAATGTTTAAAATAGGTGAATTATGTATAGGAAAAGCATGTCACCCTATGAATCATCAGGCACTGAGCACAAACAGAGGTGGGATACCAGCCTTTGTTAGACCATCAATCCTCTCTGATATGGTAAATCCTATGTTTTGGAACTCATCACGATAAGGCATGGCGACTAGGTGATATGTGACTTCAGCACTGGCCAGTGGATGGGCCAGTAGTTAAGGTGGAAGCCTGCAACTCAGGAGACTAATTTAATTCTCTGCTCTGTCACAGATTTTCTGTGTGACCTTGGACAAGCCACCGAGTCTCTCAGTATCTCAGTTCCCAGTGTTTAAAATGGGAATAATAGCCCTTCCCTGTCAAATGGGGTGGTGTGAGGATAAATTCATTCCAGTTTTTTAGGTGCTCAGATACTGTGGTAATGGGGGCTATATAAGTACCTAAGATATATACATACCACACTGGGGAAACAGGGCCTGGGGACTATTGTATTAGTCCCACATGATACATATCCCTTACGGAAAAGTCCCACAGAATTTAACAGAAAATAAAAACCTTTCTACAGATTTTTTTAAAATCATCCTGAGGAATTTAAAGGAGAACATCTCTGATACAGAAGAGTATAGGACACTTAAAATAGTATAGAAATTATTTCAATATAAAATTCTATCATTTTTTAGAAGAATTTCTGTAGAACTCTACAAAATTTCTATAGATGCCCTTTAAAGTAATCCTGTTAAATCCAATAAGACTTTCCCATACTAGATAGGAAATAAGCATATTATTAATCCATGCTGTAAATCAATCCTTCCATTCCTTTGCAGAAAGGCAGCAATCCACACACTAGATGTACTCCCGACAGAATTCTGTGCCCCTTTGGGGGTGTAAAATTCATATGGCCCGCATTTTACTGTGCCCCCCGTGCAGAAAAAGGCAAAAATAAATCTGCCAGGGGACACGTGCCTCTTCCCAGGGTGCGCGACTGTTCCAGCATGCCTTGAGCAGCCACAGACATGGGGGAGGAGGGTCTGGGCATGCATGCCTGCGTGGTTGATCACTGTCAGGGTGGGGCTGGGTGTACGTGCATGCCAACAAGCGCAAGAGAGAGAGAAAGAGACACTCTGTCCTTCTCGCTTGCTACTGCAGCTCACTGGCATGGAAGGGTAGGGCTTTTTATTGTGCACGAGGCATGCTTAGGCAGAAATGTAGCAGCCTGCCTGTTAGTTAATTGATCTCATTCTCTGAGGCAGAAATGTAGCAGCCTGCCTACATAGTAACATTGTTAATGTTCCTATTGTTAGTTAACTGTTCCAATTCTCAGTCAATTCCCCCAGGAGCATAAAACCTGTGAAAGTTTTAAGGCCCCTACCAGAGTGATGTAAATGAGCCTTATTATAAATGACAGTAAGAGAATCCTCAGCTAGGAAGATCTATGTGCTTTCTCACTTTTTTCCTGTGCTAAAGTGACACAATGGGGTTAGATTACAGCTCAGGATATTTACATACCCATTAAAAAAAAAGACGCTGAGGGCAAATAAAACATTTACCAAGCAGCCAATAAAATGTCAGGACAATCAGAACCAAGCACTTTCCAAAGTACCCAGACAGTTCCAGGACAATGATTAGCAAAACTGTATGACTTTCATGTATGAAAGTCTGAGCAATTTAAAATGATGTACTTTTTTTTCCTGTTTGGTGTTCTCTAATGTAATTTAAATGAAAATCCAGAATTATAACTGGAATGAAGGGTATTAGTTACCAAGTGTTTGTAACTTAACTTTCATGTGTTTAGGAAATGCTGAATAGTTGTTGTGACTTTTTTCTGTATTGTAATTTAAATAAATTACCAAAAAAATTGAAACTGGAGCGATGCATTATTTTGACAAATAAATATGCATAATTTTACAGAATTTTGAACTTTTTGGTGCAGAATTCCCCCAGAAGTAAACATTCATCTTAATAATGGAAAAAGAATTCTCAGTGGGCCACATCCTGAGCTGGTGTAAATCATCAGAGTTCCATTGAAGGCAGTGGAGTTACACAGATTTACAGCACCTGATGATGTGGTCCAGTGTCACTCAGAGATAGGCTTAAATCAGAAAATTTGGACCCAGGTTTAGACACCAGCAAATTATGGTATTTGAATTTGATGTTTAGGTTTGGTCCTATTTCTAATTTCTGCATGAGACAGTTCACCCACACAGATTAATTAGAGAATGATTGTAAAGCACTTTGAAGATGCAGCTTCACTTACTTCAAGTATAATGTGCTAAATAATATTATTCAAGGAAAACATATCTAAATATAGAAAATAAATCAACATTCTTGATTTTAATTGTGCACTTGCATTATCATTAATTCCTAGACGCAAGAATCTCAAAAGAAAAACACGCAGTAATTTTGATGCATTGTACAAAGTTCTAGATGCATAGGTCCCATAGATGCTATGGGTGTCATGGGGGTGAAACTCCAATGCAATGCTTTCAAGGGACATAATTAAAGGGGCACCAAAACTATTTCACGACTTCCTTTGAAAAAAACCTACCCTTAAAACTTTAACATCAAAGCTTAAATTTAATGGAAATAACTACCCTAAAGAGGTATTTTTAAGAGGAAAGGAATCACGCATTAAAAGATCAACTTGTAAGATTAAGCAATTTTTTTTTATAGCACCTAGAAGAGATGCTGCCAAAATAAAATTCACATATTTACATTTAAAAACCCATTACTTGTGTTAATAACAAAAGACTCAGATCACTGCTTCTCAATTGGTGGGTCATGACCCCCCATGGGAGTGATAAAAGGCATTTGGGGGGTGGGAGGTCAGGAGATGTTGAAAATATTATTACACTCTAAAGGAAAGAAACTCTTGCTCCCCTACTCCTGCACACCCTTACCCTTGAAGTTCAAGTATTCCGTAAATTTCTTGGAAAACCCACACGTGCACACACACACTATGTGGCTTGATCGTTTTTCTCATTGATATATATTTCACTCTTACTGTTATATCAAATATAAGATGTAGCAAAATTTTTGGACTTCAGATAAGGTCCTCAGCCTGAAAAGGCTGAGAAACACCGTCATTAAAATTGGTGGCTTCTAATATTGGAGTGATCTGTATGTGCTCAACAACCCTGAAAATCAGGTCCAATGCATCTCAGTGTAGGCCTCTAAAAACCAAGATACCAGAATTATTGGGCATATCTACAAATTCACTCTTAGCGGCTACGGCACCAAAACATCCCTTGGATGCCATTTCTTGTGGCCTCAGAGTGAAGGAATCCAGAATGATGCTGATACAGTTAACAGCACCACCCTGGCCATGCCAAGATCTTATAAAGGCAGCAGGATAGAATTATTTTACCTCGGATTGTCAGAGATGTTTTTTGCATAAGTGAGCCAGCTTCATTCTGAGCCAGGCAGCTGAATTCACCCTGATAACCATCACTGATGTTTAGTAGCTGAAGAATCTGACCAGCTGCCAGGATGTTGTGTCTCATGTTGATGGGTTGACCAGCATAAAACCAAGTGATGTTTGGAGCTGGATGACCATCCACTGGGCAACCTAGAAACCAGGGAAGAGAAATAATAAGCCTTCTGCCAGCAAAATGACAGTAAAATCATCCCTGAGTTACCTACAGCAGAACATGCTGTTTTGAAATCAATACAACAAGAAAAAAAATTGCTATTCTCTGATTTTCCCTCTTCCGCGCAATAATCAAAGCGCTAAGAGACGTTTATAATGGGTGCCTTCCTATCAAAGGAAAAACAGTTTTAAAATGGTCAATAATGCTTTGCATTTCCATAGTGTCTTTTATGTGAAGTTTTTAAATCACCATACAAACCTGAGTGAATAATTCATGTTAAGCCTTGTAACCCTCCTGTGAAATAGGGCAGTATGATTCCCCTTTTCGTGATGAGGAAACTGACGCACAGTGAAGTTAAGTAACATGTCCTTGGCAGAGGCAGAAACAAAACCCACATCATTTGATGCCTAGTCCTGTGCTTTAAACCACATGATCATCTTTCCATTTGTGATTTAATGGGAAAGAATTAGCATCCATAACAAGTGCAGGGATGTGCGTGTGTGCAGGTATGTGTGTATAAACACACAAACACAAAACTTGCAAAGTCAAGCATTCAAAACTAGGAAATGCCAGAATTAAGGTTGTCAGTGCATTTCCTAACTTTTGAGTGCTTGACTTTGCAGTATTTATGTTTTTTTAACACAGTGGCATCATATTGATGCCCACATGGTTCGTCCCTGACACAAAGGCCACACCCTTGCCAAATTTCAGGTTCTTGCTCCAAACATAGAGCATCTCAAAGCAAGGGTCACCAGAATTTTTTTTTAACATTGAAAAAAATATGTTTTTCCCCCCCAACCTCATTCTTGGAATTGGCTGAACCATTTTGGCTGACATTTACCCTGACTTCCCCCCCAACAAAGAAAAAAAATATTAGCCTGATGCAAACACCCAGCACTGGAAATTTTAGCCTAAATGTTTAAAATTCACCAAAGTTATAAGAAACTGAAAATAGGGTCTTATAATGGAAAGTGTTGGGCAATGTTATTAATAGGCGGGGCCACCAGCACCACATATAACATTCTAACATATATAGGTTTTTTTTTAGGTGATTACAAAGAGGTCTCTCAAAGGTCAACATACAGACATGCAGTTAATTCAGTTTTATTGTGTGTCTGCAAAATCAACCACCATGGTTTAAAATGAGAAAGTAGAAAGATCAACCCAACAACAAGCAAATACAAAGGGAACTGAAATTAACTACAATCCATAGCTGAGCTCTTTTGTTTCTTTTGAAGATTTTTGTGCCAAATAAATTAATTACTGCTCTTCCCATCACTGCATATTTTATTTCCATCATCTAAATTTCTTTCCCCAGATCTATATATAAAATAATGGGCTATGGGAATAGCTAGTAGCCAATAATAGGGGAAAAAATCAATCCCCCATTCTTTCCATATGTATTACCAATGAATAATTAGTAATTTTTTCCACTTCTAATGAAAAAACCTTGCCTGTACCTATGAGGCTCGTATGAAATGGATATTTCCCATTTGTGTACACAGAATGAGCATCAATCACCCTTCACAGGATGATATATCCTACATGTATTCACTTGGACAGATGCATAAACTGCGGGATCATATGTTAGGCATATTTAGCAAAGATCAGACTGTAATGAAAAATATGTTCCCATAACATCCCTTTCCCGCTCTCCTCCCAGCAATAATATGAATACCATTTAATGCAGATTACCAACACCTATTTTCCATTTCCTCCCAAACATGTCATCGTTGACTGTTTTATTCTTCCAGTGTTCAGCACCTGCCCCAAGCCTGGGCTAAACAGTATGGGAGTGAAAAACTGTTTTCATCTCTAGCCAGTGCAGTTACTAAGGGGTGTTAGTACAGCAGGACTCTTATGGCGGGGAAGCAATATTTGGCAACGTTTCCTGACTAGAGAGAGCCCTGGCAGTAGAAGGCCCTTCTCTATCAGCCCTTCTTAACCAGTGAAAGAAAATATTGCTTTTAGGCCTCCTCTTCCAGGTCCGTTGTGACTCTAAATTGATCTAAAGCCAGGGTATGATTCACAGATGTGTGAGATATTTTTTCTTTTTTTTTTGGAATTGCAAATAAAAATGTATATAAATTATACATTTCTGTGGGCGGTGGGACACCGGGGAGAAATGGAAAGTTAATATTTCAAAGTTAGCAAAAAGGGGTTGGCCGACAGGAGACGAAGGTTCTACAGCAATGCCAATGACTCCATGAGAGGAAAGAATAAATTAACACTGCAGGCCAAATCCTGTTCTCAGTTACACTAGTGCAACCTCATTGCATGGCTGTAACTGAAGAACAAATCTGGGCCAGCAGCGCTAAAGCTAAGGGAACAAATCACAGAACAGACATAACTCCTCTTTTTCACCTGAAGGACAGAAACAAATGAATCCAGCCACACTGCAGTTCTTCATTGGGTGCAGTTTGTTACTGCATGTGAATATAGAGCTCCTTTTAGAAGCCTGTTACAATTCCCAGCAGAGCCCTATGGACAGCAGTGGTGAGAACGCCAGATGTAAGCCTTGCATTTGAAAAAATGAATGGAATTTTCTTTAAAATAAAACAAAACAAAAACTAAAAAAACCCCAAACCCCAAAACAATTACAAATTGTTCTTAAGCTCCTGCGTCTGACTAACAAAACATTCTTTGGGATTCTTCTCAACCTAATACTAGTGCCCAGCAGATCTTTCTAATGGTTATTAGAGATAGGCCTAAAGTGCAGTGTTCAGATATGGACTGGATGTGGGAGAAGGGGCCTCTGGATTTTGTGTTCCTGTTTGGGCCTAATAATAATACATAACGTTTATGTAGAGGTTTTCATCCATAGACATTAAGTGGCTCACAAAGGAAGATATCTTAATCTCCAATTTAGCAATGCATAAACTGAGGCATGGGGAGGTGAAATGACTTGCCCAAGGTCATACAGCAGGTCAGCGGGAATCAAACCCAGGCCTTCTGAATCCCAATTCAGTGCTCTTATCACTGGACTATACTTCCTATTACAGGGACAAGCCCAAGTGGCTAAGTTTGGATCTAGATCCAAGCATTCCCAAAGTTCATGGTGGGACTTTAGGCCCATCTCTAGCATTTTCCTGACTACTGATGGCTAAATGTACATTTTTGGTCCAGTTCTTAAGCTTCCTAGAGCAAGATAGCCAACAAAGTGAAATGTGTACATTATGTTAGGTTAGAGCTGTTTTAACCGGCCAAGGTAATCGAAAGCTGAGAGTAGGAAGTATTCCAATTGGTCTATAACTGCGTTCCAGGGCACCTGAAAGCATTTTAATGCACCTTGTTCACAGTTAATGTTAGTCATCCCTGCTAGTCAGAACGTATGACTCTCGACCCCTGGAGCTCCCAGGTACTGGTCTACACAGAACACTTATACTGGCATAGCTATGTCGTGCAGAAGTGTGAAAAAGCCAACCCCTTGATCAACTTATCTATGCTGTCAGACCCCAGTGTAGATGCAGCTGTATCAACGGGAATATTTCTCTTGACATAGCTAACGTCGTTCAGGGAGCTATACTTTCTAGAACAGAAGAAAAACTCCTCCCGTCAGGGTATGTTGTGTCTACACTGGGGGGCTATGCCGACATAGCTATGCTGATACAGGCTCTGTAGTGTGGACGTAGCCTAAGCCCTTGTATATAGACAAAAGTGTGCTGGTTTAACTAAATCAACTTTTAAATACCCAATCAAGATAAATTGATTTAAGACCATCCACATAAATGGTTTAAATCAATCAGAAGAATCCTATTTAGCTAAACTGCTAACAATTTCATGTATATTCAAGATCTGAGGGCTGACCTACATGGGGAAGATTTTTCAGTATAATCTAAGGTGTGAATTTCAACTGATATAGTTGCTGTTTGCCCTTGGGCAAGTCACTAAGAGTTATGTCTACACTAGCACTTTTGTTGGTGTAACTTACGTCACTCAGGGGTGTGAAAAGAACAGGGGAGACGCTCCGGATGGGGAGAGGTGACACACACACATTCATGTACACCTCTCTCATGGGGGTGGGGTAGGAGGGAATGACTGACCGACCGACTGGACCTCTCCACCCTCCATGCTTGGCTGGGCCCCAAGGATGGACCTGCCTCTCCTGGTACCTGGTGCTGCATCTTCCCGAGGCAATGTGTGTGTGTGGGGTGGGCATGCAGGGTCACATCACCATCCTCCCCAGATTTCTGTCACGGTTCACATCAGAATGTGGCCAGCAGCAGCCTTTCAGCACTGTGCAGGAGGGAATGGATGGGAGCTGCTCCCAGGCACTGGGTGGGGCGGGGGAGAGCGGGATGACCTGGCCCATGTCTTTGCAGAGGTCATCTCTTCTCCCCCACCTCCTGGTGTGGCTGGAAGCAGCTTGTTCCTTCCTGCCTGCACAGTGTCGAAAGGCAGCTAACACTTCCAGGCTGCCTGCTGGCCACTTACATAACCAAGCTGCCTCCTGTCCCCCAGCTACAGTGTGGGCAGGAAGGGGTTAAGCCCTAAGGATGCATTGTGCACAAGGGCCCAGAGAACCTGACTCTAGGGGCTTCAGGAAGGATCAGAGATGTGGCTCAGCAGGGGAGGGTGGGGACAGAACATATAGTGGGGGGGAGGTATGGGGGGGGAAGAGGGTGCTAAGCCCCAGCAACCCCCCCGGCAGACACCTGAAATTAAAGTGGGATAGGAGGCAGGATAGGGTTGCTGTGGAACCTGCAGGTTAAGGAAGTATGAACAGGAATTAGTTCATGTTTTTTCTGGCTGTCTGAGAGGGAAAGCAACTGGTCAGTCACTGAAAAAGAATGTTATGCCATTGTCTACGCTCTGGAAAAGTTACGCCCATATGTTTGGGGACGGCGTTTCCACCTGCAAACCGACCATGCTGCACTAAAGTGGCTTCACACCGTCAAAGAAACTAACAAAAAACTTCTTCGGTGGAGTTTAGCTCTCCAAGATTTTGATTTCGACATCCAACACATCTCAGGAGCTT